TGATGTTGAGAGAGTTGAAATCTCGTATTGGAGTATCTTATAAATGAAAAAAATTTATAATCAATTGTCTTAAAATTTTAAGTTAAAAATAATTTCATATTTTTTTATATAATAGTTTATATAATATAATTTGTTGTTAATCCCTAATATTTATTATCCACATTTTATCTATTTTTATAGTTTTTTAAAAAAATTATTTTATATATACTTATATATTAATTTTATTTTTTATTTCTTTTTATTATATTTATACTAAAATTATTTTAATCATTTATTAATTTATTTTATTATTTAATTTTTTAATCAATCAAATTAATTTTATCAATTAAAAATTTTTAACTTTTTTTATTCTCTTTTGGTGAATCAAAACAATCTTAACTCTACCTTCTTGGTCAGAAAAATAATTATAAAACCCTTTGATCACATATGAAATTTTGAGTAATAAAAAATAATATGATAAATAATGTACGATGAATAAAGATTACAACAATATTGGAAGATAAAATTGCAAAATTACATCCCTGCCATGCAGAAAACTGTTGCCAGCATATTTTTTATATTGTTTAAACTTATGTATAAACATATTAATCACACTACAAAAAAAAAGCCTCTAGGCAAATTTTACATTACGTCACTAGCAAGAATCGAACCCAATACCTGCCTCAGGCAAATTTTACATTACGTCACTAGCAAGAATCGAACCCAATACCTTAAAATTGAAAACTGATACTCCAACCACTAAACTATTAGGATATTCTAATAATAATTTACAACTAAATTATACTTATATTTATTCGTGTAAATATATAAATATAAAAATATAAAATATAAAATATATAAATATAAAATATAAAATATATAAATATAAAATATAAAATATATAAATATAAAATATATAAATATAAAAATATAAAATATAAAATATATAAATATAAAATATATAAATATATAAATATATAAATATAAAATATAAAATATATAAATATATAAATACATAAATATATAAATACATAAATATATAAATACATAAATATATAAATACATAAATATATAAATATATAAATACATAAATACATAAATATATAAATAAATAAATATATAAATATATAAATACATAAATATATAAATATATAAATATAAATATATAAATATATAAATATATAAATATATAAATATATAAATATATAAATATTTAAATATATAAATATTTAAATATAAATATATAAATATAAATATATAAATACAAATATATAAATATATAAATATATAAATATATCAAAATATAAATATATTTTATATTTATATATTTTATATTTATATATTTTCACGGATAAATATAGTGGTTGGAGTATCAGCCTCCAACTCGAGTACTTGGGTTCGAATCCTGCCAATGACAATTCCCTTAATCTAATAATAATTCAAAGTTCTGAAAATATAATATAAAGAGGAGGGGTTTGTAATAAATAAAAATATTTTGTTTAGGTGATTACCTACGACCAAATTACATACGGATTTTCTACGGAAAGAAATCCGTAGGTAAAGTGACATTACCTACGGATTTTATCCGTAGATAATAAACATTTTTTTGTAGTGTTAATTTTAAAATTCCTTTTACTAAAAAAGATAAACAACAACTTGGATTCCTATACGAGTAAAATCAATGATTAATTATTTTAGTGATCAATTCAATTAATCAAGTGATGCAATAAAATCATACTAATAACATATTTATAAAGTTCTTGCATTTATTTTTAATAGTTTCTTTTAATTTTATCAAATCTTCTAGTCAAGACTTCTAAGATTTTTCTTATTAACTTCTTTGTCACTTATTTAGTGTGATCTAATGTAAAATGATGAAGCTCATCAAATCTATAGCAAAGGCTAAATAAGATGAAGTCTTCATAGCTCATCTTAAACAAATTAATTCAACTCTCTTAAATTATCTGAGTTATACATTAAAATTGAGCTAGGTTTTATGTGAGACATTTATTTGAATTATATATTCATATATTAATCAGGTTAACCATTATTTAGGGATGGCAAAACGGGCCAGTCCACCCCGTTTTGGTCCGTCCCATCTTTGGCCCGCCAAAAGCGGGATCAGGCGAATCGACTCGCTATAGTCATGACGGATCTGTAGATCTTGACCCGCCCGCCAAGGAGCGGGTTAGCGAGTCGACTCGCCATAATTTAGAAAAAAATATTTTATTTTTTAAAATAAATTTAATAATAAGATTATTATTTGTTTGTCAATAATTCAATATATATATATATATATATATTATTTTAATTTAATAATATAAATCAATACATTGTTTTAAGAAATTATAATTTAGAACAATAATAAAATTTACATAATAATAAATAATAACAAATATATATATAACGTTAAAATTTATAAAATTTATATTTTTTATATTGAAAAATTCAAATACCTATATCTTTTTTATTTGATAAAATTTCACATTATTCTTGGTTGAGTAATTCTTACACCTTTAATTCAAGTTATAAGGATAAAAATAATCGAGTGCTTAAGATGAACAAGGAGAACAGTAGAGAGAAAGTTGTGTTAGGAGAATATTTTATGTGAAAGTAAAACTTTTTTTAATTCTCATTTTAAAATTTTTAACTTTATATATTATCTTTATAATTAATTTTATTACAATAAAAAAATATTTTTTTATTAATTAGGTGGGTCGTGGGCTGACTCGCCCGATCCCGCAAGTTGGCCGGTAGGCTTGGTGGGGCGGACCAAAGCGGGCTGGTGGACTGAAAACACCAACCCACCTTGCCATATTATGGCGGATCGGCGGGCCAGCCCGTCGGACCGACCAGCTTTACCATCCCTACCATTATTCGAACACATCATTATACTATTATATGAGCACATCATTATATCATTATCCAAACACGTCATTATGTTATTATCCAATCACATCATTATACCATGATAGTACACCAAAAAACTTGCTTAAATACATTAACTAAAAATCATACATATATAAGGTGAATCTAATTGCCCTTATATATTTTAAAAAGATTTTTCTCTACTTTAAATACCTCAATCTTAGCTCAACCTAGAGCACACTTCGATTTTAGCTCAACCTCGAACACACTTCGGTTTTAGCTCAACCTCGAACACAGTCCGATCTTTACACAACCTCAAGTAAACATTGAACATAACTTTCCCTCACCTTGATTGTTGTTATAACCAAACTCGCATTGATTTTAATGATATTTTATAAATTGTTAGTATAAATTATTCGATAGAAATAGTTGTCAAAGAAAAAATTGTAGTTATTGAATTGACTTGGTCACACCTACAATAAATATAAAAATAATAAACTCACATAAACCAAAGAGTAATATCATAACTCACATAAGTCTTATAAAATTTCATTAATAAAACTTATTTAGTCAACAACTGAAGTTTGACTTTAAATTTGAAGACTTATATACATGTTCAAATCTTCAAATCCATGGTATCTAATGTATAATGAAAATATTTCTTATATTATAATAATAATGCATAATAAATATATATAATTACACATAATATTACGTTAAAGCTTAATAATTATAATTTACTACATAAAATATCCTAATAAGAGACCTACTTATACCATCACTCTACTCTTTATATCTCACTCTCATCTCGATAATTTTCTACTATTTTATATATTCTCTTTATGACTTAAACATCATAATATCTTAGAAGTGAACATCTTAATTTTTTTTTTTTAAGGATCCAAACTCATATATGTGAGTTTATTCATTATTATAATTTTTTTTGGTAAAAGCATCGTTAAGCCCTCACTACAAGAATTTTACATATTAGCTATGACACATTCCGTAACTATTTTATAGATAATCTCTCGCTGGTATGTTTTGCTACAGATTAGCTACGGAATAGCTATGAAATAGTCCGTAGCTAAATCCAAGTAGCTAATTATATATAGATGTATTCTCTCTCAAACTTGTTGCAAATTTTATCGCTAAACTGTCGTTAAATCCCTCGCTAATTTAAATGATGAAATTTTGTTTATCTCTAGCTAATTTGATCTCCCAAAACTTGTAACTAATCCGTAGCTAATCTCTCGCAAATTCACTATCGCTAATTCGTTGCTAATCTCTCGCAATTTTTCTCTCGTTAATTCGTAACTAATCTCTCGCAATTTTTCTTTCACTAATCCGTAGCTAATCCCTCACAATTTTTCTTTCGCTAATCTGTAGCTAATCCCTGACAATTTATCTCTAACTAATATGTGGTTAATGCCTCGCAATTATTTCTTTGTTAATCCGTAGTTAATCCTTTGCAATGTTTCTCTCGTCATTTCATAGTTAATCCGTCACAATTTTTATCAAAATTTATAATATCAAATATTTAGGATTTAAATTATTACTCATATTCTTAAAAAAAGAAGACAAACTTATAACTTTCAATATAAAAGTATTGTTTAAACATAGTTACTTTTTTTTTCTCTCATAACTGCCTGAAACAGAACACAAGCAAAGTGATTCTCTCATAACACTGTCACTTTTTTTTCTTCTTGACGTTTATAATTAAAATAAAAATACAAATAAACCAATCATATTCTACTTCAAACCCAAAAATATTCATCTAATTGAACTAACAATTGAGAATTTCAGAAGTGACCAAACTAGCCACTCAAAACACAATGCAATTTCATACAAAAATGAGTTAAGCTTCTGAACCAGAAACACGATCTTGTTCAAATAGAATATAACAACTACCGCTGGAGGATTTAATTTAAAAATGTACTGAGTAAAAGAAAAAACAAATAAGTAACTCTCATTACAGAAAAGAAAACATGAATCACCACCATCCATAGAGAGCTTGAGTGTATGTATTCTTGATCCACCTGAAACTCTTTCTTAGATAGCCTTTCATTTTGCCTTCTGCAGCATATATTTTATAGCCAACAACTCTCTTCTTCCTCTGCAACTCAGGGTCACTGAAGCTCCAACTTTTTGATGGTTTAACAGCTGTCCTTTTCCCCTCTCTTCACCTTCACCTCCTTACCAGTGCTACCTATCTGGTGTGCACGACCAAAAGAAGCATTTTTAGCACTCTGACACCTCAGATCTTGCATGCTTGTTGGGACCACCTTGCCTCCACCGTTGCTTTCAATCTGGAGCCTTTCATCTCTGCATGACTTGGATCTGAACTCCATGATCATGCCAACCACAATACCCCGAAGTAGTAAGAAAGAACAAGTTCAAACAAAAGGGTTGAAGGCTTTGCTTTTTTGTAGCTGAATGTTAATATTGTTTATTGCTTCTCTTACTTTAAGTTAAACCAAATTATAGGGTTACTCTTTTACATAACAGTTCAAGTTCATTTAGTTAATTTATCTTTTAAAAAGATTGTGATATTAAATTGAAAACTCTTTCCTTAATTTATATAATAAAATCTTTTGAGAAAATGAGTAGGGTAGGGTAGGACTGATCCAACTATCTTTGCAGAGCAAAGTTGCATGAGGCATTTGAATTCACCACCTTTCACATGTGCAAGTGTTAAAATTAACAGTTAACTAGAGCAAGGAATATATGCTGCTATGCTACCCCATTTTTTAGAAATATAAATTGAAAATCATATAATATTTAAATAACGAAATGACATTTTTTATTACTACCCTCTATGCTTTAGGTACGAAGAAGTTAAAAGAAGAGGAGAATCTCCCATCAAATCTAAACAGAGAGTGAAGATGGTAAATGAATATTCCCTTTAACCCCCCATGCAATAATAACAATCTGCGAGCAGAAAAAGTGGGATTCACCATAGTTCACAAAATCACAAGGAAGCTATACCTATATAAACATGCTTCCTCTGAATATTTTTTCTCCATCTATCCAACACATATTTACAAGGGACCTCCTTCACTCTCTCTTGTGACAGTACTGCAAGCGAGTGCCTACAGAGTATACCTCTGAACTCAAACAAGCGACAATTGCATCTTACATCACAACCTTTCCTGTCTACTTGTATATGCATGACGGATATGTTATTTAACAACTATGAGGTTTCCACCATTTCACTGCAGACTGCAGCATGACTGTATACAATAGAGCGAATTATTAACCTAAAACATCATCAAAACATGAAGGAGTAAGAATTGCAAACCTCTTGCCGGTGATTTGACGCTGTTACTGCAGCCGAGTAAGACCACTAGTACCATTCCCATTAAGGCGCTCCTTCAAGGACCTCCGCCCTCCATTCTCCACGAGATCAGCGTACATTTTTTGTAATTCACTCGGTTCGAAATCAGAAGAAGAATTATGAACCCTAAATTGAAGAACAGAGACAGAGAGTGTGAAACGGAATGGAAGTGATCACGGTTCGCAGAGGAAGAGGCAGGGAACCGCAATGCGGAGACCGTAGCAGAGAATGAAAACCCTAACAACCCATTTTCTTCGTCGTGTGTTGAATTTTGAATGGAAAACAATGGCAACGGTTTGTCTCAGGAAATTGGAGTTTAAAGGAAAGGGAAAAGATTATGAATCGAAGGATTGGAAGAGTTGAACGATTGTTCCCCTGTGGTGTGAGGTTTTGATTTTGCGAAGAGAAAAAGATGATACCTGTTTGGTACGGAAGTAAGAATGATTTCAGCTTATTAATTTTGACGCCCCGAGGGGAAACGTTGCAAACACTGCCAACAGGGGAAAATAATGCTAGTTTAAGAGTTTAATAATGGTCTAGGTGGGTTATTTAATCTACCTTGTTTAATTTGCAAAACAGATTTTATTTGTGGACTCTTTAAGTTTTTATTATTTAATATAAAAATATTAATAAATAAGAGGTATAAGTTATGTAAAAATAATTTTTTTAAAAAAGTTACGTGAAATTTTATTACTCTTTTTATGATTCAGTAATTATTAAATAGGGATATAATATTTTGATTTAGTAGAAAATTATAAAATAAGTAATATGATGTAGAAAAATATGTTTTTAGGGAACGAGATGCAAATTATGTTACAGTTTATAAAAAATACTTCCTACAAATTTAAATTTATAAAAACTTTACAGAAAATAATTTTAAATATTTATCAATTTTTTTAGATCTTTTTTCAAAAAAATTATAATTATTTTCAAATAATTTATTTTAGACACAGAAAATAATTTTATATATATATATATATATATATATATAATTAATATATTTATAGTAAATTCAGTAAAAATAATTTTCAAATAATTTTATAATTATTTTTTTTGCTATAAATTTGCTACAATTTAACTAGGATTGCATATTATATAATTTAGCTAAGAAATAACTTAAAAAATAATATAGTTAATATTTATAGTTAGAGATTAGTGATAAAAAAAATTTCTAGTTAAATAATGGTCGTTACAACTTCACTATAACTTGATTTATCCATGTAATTTTTTTAAAAATCTATTTGGTAATTTTTTATAATGGACAAGTTAGTTTTAAGAAGAAAATATTTTATTAGTTATAACTATTTATTACATTATGACGTAGGTAAATCTTGAAAATGGATCTTTGATTATACAAGATACTAAGTTTGTATTTGAAATATGTTTACAGTTTTATTACTCTACTAATTAATGATATAAGCTTTGTGTATGATTTTCCATGTGCGATTTGATGTCATTTTCAGGTGCTTGAATGGCTGATGATTAATGAACATGTTAGGGCAGGAGGGCCTAACACCGAATGAATGAAGTAGTTTGGAAATAAAAAATCTTGTCAGAAAAATGGCCATATGACACTTCGTCGAATGGTGTCTCTGATATTTGAAGAATAATTTAATCTGCAATAGTTGTTAAGCTTTTGGTGATACGCTTCTATGTGAAATTTGGTATATTGATAGCTGTCATCGTTGCTGGAAGCATTTTATTATTTTGAATAATAAAAATAGAAAAGAAAATATACAAGTATTTACATTCTTTATGAGATAATTCGTAATCATATTTTCTTTCACTTCCAATCCCTATCTCATTTTTCTCCTATATTTTATTACTTCAACCTTTTGCTACCATATGTGGCTTTTAGCACGTAGAATGGGGGATGTATTTGATGCTTTGGAACTAGCACTGCAAGAAAAAGGTCTTTACACCATTGCCAGTGATCATATTTGACTAATTTACATGTATCTTTATGAAATATTTAAAAGTTGAGTTGCGTGTAACTAGTTCAAAAAGATGTTTTTAAAGTAAGGGAAAGAGGCCATACGAGTAATTCACCCTAAAAAAAAACCTTTGATTTCTCAAACATGGTGGTAACCTTGAAAGCATGTTGCACCGTGAGGCCAATGGAAGAAACATGGTGCGGACGCGTACCTTTGTCTGAATGGGATCAAACAGGTAAAGTAACCCACGTGCCCATAATCTACTTCTACCGTGCCCCACAAAACTGGCTCTCCCAAGACAAGACCATTGCTTCCACCTTGAAGGACTCTTTAAGCCGAGTCCTGGTGCCGTTTTATCCACTTGCTGGTCGTTTACATTGGATAAGCAATGGTCGTTTAGATCTTGATTGCAACGCCATGGGCATTCGGTTCATTGAAGCTGAGTCCTCATCAACTTTAGAAGATCTCGGTGACTTTTCACCGTCTTCAGAATACCACTACCTTGTCCCCACTGTTGACTACTACTCCCTCCCGATTCACGAGCTGCCGCTGGTTCTGGTTCAACTAACGAGGTTCAAATGTGGTGGCATTTGTATTGGCGTAACACTTTCGCACGCGGTTGTGGATGGACCAAGTGCATTACACTTCATGTGTGAGTGGGCAAGGCTTGCACGCGGCGATCCTTTGCAAACGGTGCCGTTCCTTGACCGAAAAGTGTTGCGGGCTGGGGAGCCTCCTTTGGTGCCACTAACAAAATGTCATGTTCACACGGAATTCGATGATCCTCCTTTGTTGCTGGGCCAAACTGAGAACATTGAGGAAAGGAAGAAGGAAACCACGATGGCTACCCTTAAAATAAGCAAAACTCAAGTTGAAACACTGAAAAAGAGAGCAAATGAGAGTTCGCACAGGCCTAGAAATGGTGTTGGTTATTCTCGTTACGAGAGTGTGGCTGGTCACATATGGAGAAGTGCATGCAAGGCAAGAGGGCACGCAGAGAACCAACCAACTATGCTTACTATTATCGTTGACACGAGGGGTCGCATGGAACCTCCTCTGCCAGAAGGGTACTTTGGCAATGCCTCTTTGGACACTGTTGCATGTAGTCTTGCGGGTGATTTGGTGTCCAAGCCTTTGGGGTATGCGTCAAGTAGAATAAGAGAGGCGATTGAAAGGGTGAATGATGAGTACGTGAGGTCGGGAATTGAGTTCTTGAAGAATCAGGAGAATTTGAGAAGGCTTCATCAAGATCTTCATGCAGAAGGGAGGGAGAAGGAGCCTTTCTATGGAAACCCCAATTTGTCTGTGGTTAGTTGGTTGACGTTGCCGATCTATGGCAATGATTTTGGGTGGGGGAAGGAGGTTTATATGACTCCAGCAACACATGACTTCGATGGAGATTTCGTGCTTCTTCCTGATTCAGGAGGGGATGGATCTTTGCTGGTGTTTTTAGGTCTGCAAGTGGTGCATATGGATGCATTTAAGAAGCATTTTTACGAGGACATTGCATAAGAATCATAAAAATATTGAAGGGCAATGCCATACATTTTTACTATGCTTTAAATCATCAACCTATACATTTTACTATCAAATTATTTTTCAAACCTTGCAAATCTATCAAATTAGTCACTTAATTATTCAAAATACTATATACATTTTTTATAGACTAAAATGGTACAAAAATTATTGAGGTATAGCATTGGCAACATCGTAAGGTTTAGGAATTACTTATGATAATTTTCCAAGAATAAAGTAGTTGAAAAAAAATGCTTTAAGAAGTATACTTTAAATTAGTTCCTAGTATAAACCGATTTAGTTTTTTTTTTTAAATTAACAAATCTCAACCTCTTTTTGTAATTTAAGAACTAAAATAATAATTATTTAATAATGTTAAGATTAAAAATATTATGGTCGAACAATGCTCATAATATTAGAAACTATGTTGTTGAAATTTTAACTTTTAACTTTTAAATATTTAACAGTTAAAAAATTTAAACGACTGAAGCAGTATTAAAGTATATGTTTTTGGAGGACTAAACTGTGATCTTCTTTTTGCAATTGGAATAAAAACTGTGCAAGGGAAAATATAAGTGAGACCAAAGGCCATATTTCTTGTTCTTTTTCCGCATAAAAAAAGCTAAATATTCTCGCATTTTACAACCAATTACAAGAAAATCAATTCAGTTCATATAAGCTTAATTGAATAACACATTAAACTCACATCATCACGTACCAAGAACAAAGTTACATGGACATGAAGTGCATTGCGTACCAAGAACAAAGTAACTTACAGAGACAGATGCATCTAAGAAAAATCGTGAGAAGCTAAAAAAAAAAAAACGAGTCCATAACGAAACTTGTTAATTGAATGATACAAGTAATTTTTTTTATTAGCAATGGAACTATTTTATTGTTGATTTCACTTTATATATATCATTTTGTTAAATTTTATTTAATTTGGAAATGAGAATAATAAATTATTTTATTTTCTAAATTATATGAATTGATTTGTTATTTTCAATTGTATATTACACACCAAGAAACAAAATATATGTAATTATCAGCAGTAAACACTCTTATTAAATTCTCTTATTTCTCCTAATGTAAATGTCAGGATATCTTATTTTAAATTTATTCTTTGTTGGATGGATGATAATTATATTACAATTGTAGTGTTAATTTTCCTTTAATTATCCTATGTAAAGGTGATCACATAGGGGTTTAAAGTAGGAAGCTATTTTCATCTTTAATTTTTTTTCTTTGTTATTTGTCTTCCGCTTGTAATAATATTTTAAATTTTTATAATTATTGATATAGAAAATTGAGTTATATATTGTTTAAATTTAGTTTGTTAGGAAATAAAAATATTTTCAATGTTAAATTTGTTTATTCTTTGCAAATTGGTTAAAAAATAAAACCTTTCTTTTTTTAATGCTCATTGTGTTTCCTACTGGTTTGAAATGATTCATAGTGATTTTTGGGGTATGTTATGACTTAAAGGCTTATTATCAATATTTAGTTATATTTATTGATTATTATAAACATTTTACTTAATATTATATTTTTCTATCAAAATCTGATGTTTTTTTTTGTTGGAAACCCGATTGAAGATTTGATGAAGTCTAATTATAATTGCAGGCTTGACTGAACCGTATACGTGTGTGTCTGTTCTATAAGTTCTTTCACACTTATTTAATCTAGCAAGAATTATAGAAAGCCCTATGGAAAAATATTTTTACTAGAAAATATATTTTTACTAGAAAAGATATTTTAACATGTTAAAATAATATGTCAAGATATATGTAAATATATTTTGTTATTATATTTTAGGTAAGAATATATTTAATTTATAATTAGTTTCTTAAATATATGCATGATTTCATTAGTTACCTAATATTACGACTTCTACATTGTATTTATTCCAAGTCAGTGAATGACATCAATTGAGAAAAATATTCTTTTGTGGTATCAAATTTTTAGGATAATTACGTTTCTTCTTCTTCGTTCTCCTTCATCTATCTTGTTTTTTTCTTCTTCTCATTGTCATGACGGACAACAAAAGTTTTTTTCATCCGGCTCTTGCAGTTTCCAATATACGGAACCATATTTCCATCACTTTTGAAATGGAGAATGTCAAATACTCTACATGGACATAAATTTTTAAAATTACTGCACGTTCTTGTAAGATCCTTCATCACATTATTCCTCCTGTCAATGACAAAGAGAAGGTACTTGTGACTGAGGATGAAAATGAATTATGGTCGACTCTTGATGCTAAAGTTTTTTTCTGGCTATATGCAACCATCTCCAATGACATGTTGCATACAATTATTGAACCCAATGCCACGACCATGGATGCTTGGAATAGGTTGAGAAATATTTTGCAAGACAACAAACATTTTCGTGTGGTAACTCTTGAGATCGAATTCTCCACTACTAAGATGGAGAATTTTCTGAATGCTTCAGCATTTTGTCAACGTTTCAAGTCTCTTGCTGATTAGTTGAAAAATGTTGGAGCACCGTTGTCGAAGAACTGTCTCGTCATTCAACTTGTTTTGAGTCTCATAAGTGCATATCGTGATGTATGGACGTTAATTCGGCAGAGTGATCCTCTACCTCCATTTTATCAGGCTCGATCGATGCTCACACTTGAGAAAACCAGATTGGCAAAGGAGACTACCACAAGATCAGAGTCGACAATGGTGGTTGTCTCCCAATCCGTTTATGACTCAAATTCCTTACATTCAGACCAGCTACACCACCAACAACATCGTGGAAATTCGTATGAATATCGCAAGAATTCTGGAAAAAAAATCGATGGCGGTGGTCGCAGGTCTGGCGGTGGCAAATCCAGCCGTCCAGGGGGTGATAATGGGGGCGATAGTGGTGGTTCACAACAGTTTGGTGGGAGTCCACAACAACAGCCACAATGAGGGTCTTTACCTTGGCCGAATTACCCACCTTGGGGTTGGATGCCTCAATGGGCTCCTCCATGCCCATATCCAAACTAGGGGTGGGCATGGGGTCCAGCACCAGAGAGACAACAACAACAACCCGACGTTCTTGGGTCACGCCCACAGCAAACTTACATGGCCTCTCAGAATGGGAAGTCCACTTCTGATGTTCCTACAAATATTGAAGTGGTGATGCATACTATGTCTTTGAGTCCCCCCTAATCCATCATGGTACATGAACATTGTTGAATAATTGACAAGCGCACCAATATTATCAATCGTAGTATAGTATTTCGATTAAATAAAAGTCGATCCTACGAGAAACGATTTCACTGAAAACTTCAAATCATAAGCTTACTAAGTGGATTAAAACAAAACTGGTTTTTCATAAATATTTAAGTTGAAAATAAATGGCAAAGCACTGTAAAATGTTTGGAGAAAAGATCAAATTAAAGAATTTATGATTGATTTCATTCCTTTTCCCTCTTTTGTATTAAGACTAGGTCAAATTAAGCATGTCAATTAACCTATCAATGTTGATGTCACCTACTTAAATCATTCACATTGATTCTTGGCACATGAAATTTATAAGAAAATATAATAAACGTCGATCCCTCATACATTTAATAGATTTCCTAGCATTAGGTTTAGGGTGTTAAGTAATTGATACATCAATTCTATTCCTAGCAATTAACGTAGCAAATATTCTTAACCTAATCTAGGGTTTTAAGATATATTTTTCAATACATCCCAAACATCAAAGATAAAAATTACAGAGCACAAAAGATAAGAATATCAACATCAAGAACATAGATTAATATATCAAAATATTACCAAGATACAAAATAGTTCAAAGGAAGTGCGTCCAATCCTAAGAGAATGAAGTTAGCCACTCATGATAGTTATTACAATGATCCAATAAAGAAGAATTGAAGATGGACGAAAATTGGAGTAGCTGTTGCGCCTCTCTTCTCAAAACCTCAAAATTCTCTCTTCTCAAAACATATATGATCTATTTATAGAAAACTTTTGCGTCATTCACTCAAGCGGGTACTTTCGCTCAAGCGAATATTAATGACTTCCAGAGAGGTTTGACGTATTATCGCTCAAGCGAGCGTCTATTCCGCTTAAGCGAGTCTTAAGCTTAAAATCTTCTTCCAATTTTTTCAATTTTTCTTCAATTAACTGGAGAATTATGCTCCTTGCTCTTGTACCTAGGTACTCTGTAAATTCATCCTACATTGGGAGAAAAATATATTAGAATCAACATAATTTAAGTGGTTAAATAATAATTCAAAACATAATTACATTAACTCTTGCCACTTAACAGACACCAGAGCTACCTCTCACATGACATCTTCCTAAATATGTAAATATATTTTGTTATTGTATTTTAGGTAAGTATATATTTAATTTATAATTAGTTTCCTAAATATATGTCTGATATTATTAGTTACTTAATTAGTTTCATAAGATTATGACTTGTATATTGTATTTATTCAAAGTCGATGAATGAGATCAATTGAGGAAAATATTCTTTTAGAAATATTTTATGTTAAAATATTTTTTTATTTTTGATATTTTTTATTTAATTTTGGAAATATTTTGGGATTGTGTGTATTCCTTAGTTAACATATGATAGAGAATCAATAATACATTGTTCAATCAGTAATTGTCAATTTTAATTTTACATTTCATATTAACTCAAGCCATAATTATGCTTTATAGATCTTAAATTATGTCATGCTTTTTAGTATATAAATACTGTTAGGTATTTCCAAAGGGGCTAACAGGGAGATTCTCACAAATGGATCATGAGTCAACCATATAAAAAAATATAATACCACTCTCAACCTAAAACCTTAAGGCATTATGTTATAGGTCTTTCTTATTTATAAGTTACTCAACTTTCCTATTTCTACCAAATATGGGAGAGCATGGGTATTATCAAGAGAATTTTTATCAAATGAACCTTGGATGTTGTATTATGTTTCAGAGGATCAAAACTAGTTGTCAGATGTTATGTTTGTTCAAGTTTTGCAAGTGATCTTGATGAGT